CACATATGCTATTACAAGAGTCATCCCAATTAATGATAAATATACTTCCAATCCTTCACTAGATTTGGGGATATCTGATGATACTGGGCCCTGCCTTCTTATTTATAGCTTTAGTGCCCTGATGTGCTCTAAGCATGTAACAAGTATTTAATCAATGCTTATTAAACATACCTTTCATACGTAAACATACAATTAACTATATGATTAATGTTCATTAATCATATAGTTAATTGTGTTTAAGAAAATGGCCTATCAAATAACCATAATAACCCAGAAGAATTTTTGTGTTATAAAGTATCACACAAATTTTGTTTGATAATTTTGATTGTTTTAAATTAGCATCTCCTGTAATAAAAGAAACTCATAAATGCTTTGAAAAGAAAGTCAAGGAAACGTTCTAACATTTACTTGACACCTACTAGAAGCTCACACTATGCCAAGAATATGTGTCATGGTTAATTATGTGTCAACTTGGCTAAGGTGCTGTGTCCAGTTGTTTGATAAAACACCAGACTAGATGTTGCTGCTAAGTGATTTTTAGATGTAATTAACATTTAAATCAGTGCATTAATGAAGTGGATTAACCTCCTGCCTTAATAATGTGGGTGGGCCTCACCCAGTCAGTTGAGGGCCTTAAGAGAAAAGAAAGAGGTCCTTGGACAAGGAGGAAATTCTGCCTCCAGGCTGCCTTGAAACTCAAGACTGCAGCATCAATAATATCAACTCTTGTTAGAATTTCTAGCCTTTCAGCCTCTTCTGCAAATTTCAGACTTACCAGACTCCACAATCCTGTGAGCCATTTCTTTAGAACAAATTAATCCCCTCTCCTCATTACTCTTAGTTAGATAACACAATATGACATCATTCACACATCACAATCAGCTTTTGAGGCCAGTATTATTCCCGTTTTTGCACAAAGTTATTGAGACTCTGAAAGCTTATGTATCTTACATGGTGGCTGTAGCAGGCAGTAATACTGTTCACCAATTATCTATCTCTCCTAGGGTGAGCAACTGTTCTGATTTGCCTAAAACTGTGGTTAGAGAAGACAGAAAGTAAGAATCACAAACTCAGACTAGGGACTGAGAACTTACAGCTCCTTCTCTAAGCGTTTAGGGAATAGTTGCAAGACAGAGACCCTCTTAGGATGGAAGAGAACTTTCCATAGATGGCCATTGTACTCAGAAGAACATTGATCAAGGAATCATTGGTTAAAACCTTGAATAATTATTTTCTCTCTCAAAGCTTCAAGTCACCTATCTGTGAAGTAAAGGCGTGTACCACATACGTACTCCAATTCCTCTCAGCCCTGACAGCTTATGGTTGGGAAAACCCTCCTCAGTATCATCACAGATACATTTCCTAGGTTTTCTTGATCACCAGAAAGCAAAAAAGAAAGTTTAAGATAAATTAAAAATTCAGACACAATAAAGAATACACTAACAAGTTTTTTAGGGCTTTTTAATCGGCAGAATGCATTATGGTAAATGTGAATGGCTTTGTAGAGTTCCTCATTTCCTGCTTATCTCATTAACAATATTTGTATCTTAAATGACTTGACTTTTAGTTTGTGGTCAAGAATATATAAGGATAGTTAAATAGTTATAGACAGTATGTGTTCTTTACTGCAACTGAGCCAGACTTGATGGGAGATAAGATGAGGACAACCCAACTCTAGCCAGCTCTTTCCCTGTGGACTTCTCACCTGACCGTCACGGTGTACACAGCTCAACTGCTCATGACCCTCTTGGCCTTGTCTGACAGCCACCACTTAATTGCAAGTGTCCCTCAGCATCCTCTTTCTGTCAGGACCAAGGCAGATTTGAATTTCTTCTGTTGTAAAGTGTGTGCATTTTAACAGCTTTCTAATTGAACAATTCTCTAAAAGTGCATTAGGAGCTTTTGTATCATATGCTTTTATGTTCAGACACAAAAATTTATGTATGTTAAATTTCTAGATGATGTCAGAATTGCAGGAGCTGTTCATGGATGAGTCAACAGATTGAGAGAGATGAACGAATTTATCTAAAGCCAAATAAACTGTTTACTTGCTAACATTTGACGTGTGCAGAGCTCTATGATGGGGCTGAGCATGGAAGAGAGATGCAGCATGTTCTCTAACATCTGTGAGGCTGGTGCTGGATCTCAACCATGAATTGCTTCTTTAGGTTAGGGAAGAGAAATCAAATTCTGCCTGAAATATGTGGTAAAGGTGTCAAAAAAGAAATTTGGAGGATGAAAAATAATTCTCTATCACAAACAGAGAGGGAGCACACTCCAGCGAAGGCCTACGAGTAGAAAGAACATAGTGTTCTTAGGAGGCATGGAGTTTCTAGTGAAGTTGAGAACCTTGACAGCACATTATAATAACCTGGGGAACTATGAAAAGTGTGGATGCTGAAGGCCATCCCCAGACCTTCTGCCTTTATTGAAAGTAGGTAGAAATTCAAATTGCCTTACACTTCTCAATAGTATTGAGTACCTCAATTTCTTACAAAATGGAGAAGAATAAGTACCCCCAAAAGTCCCATACATGAAGAAGATCTTGGAGGCCTTCTTATCCACTCCTGCGATTTTTACAAAGAAGACGAGAACTAAATAGAATGTATTTACCCATAAACATGTTGAAAATTTCAACTGAGGCTGGCATAGTCTCGAAAACATTTTTATACTCTCTTCTTACAGGATTGATTGGACAAAGTTGGGTCCCATTAATATGTGCTGATTGGCAATATTTATTTTAAAGAATAAGCATATGCAATCTGGTAACTACCCATTCTTAGCCAGTATCTGTGTTGACTAAAGTTGGTTTGGTCAACTCAACCAGGCTTCCTTTGGAAGAAGCTGTCCTAACTGTGTATTAGTCAGCTCTGGCTGCCATAACAAAATACTACAGACAGGGTAGCTTCAATAATATAGCTCGATTTTCTCATAGTTGTGGTTGTTGCAAGTTCAAGATCAAGGTGCCAGCAGGGTTGTTTTCAGTTTCTGGTGAGGATTCTTCTGAGCTGTCAGACTGTTGCCTTCTTGCTATGCTCTCATGTGGCTTTTCCTTGGCACAGAGCTCTCTGGTGTCCCTTCTAAATAGGTATGCTAATCCTATAGCCCCACCCTTATGACCTCATTTCATGTTAATTACTTTTATTTTTCTTTTGAGATGGGGTCTCACCCTATCATCCAGGCTGGAGGGCAGTGATGGAATCTTGGCTCACTGCAACTTCTGCCTCCCAGGCTCAAGCAATCCTTCCACCTCAGTCTTGTGAGTAGCTGGGACTACAGGTGCATGCCATCACACCAGGCTAATAATTTGTACTTTTGGTAGAGATGGGGTTTTGCCACATTGCCCCACCTATAAGCACTCCTTTAGAAGGTCCGCTCCAAATACATCCACTCTAGGGGTTAGGGCTTCAATCTATGCATTCTGGGGTGATGCAAACATTAAGTCTAGCCAACAAACCATATAAAATATTCATCAAGCTTGTGTTTTTCATTCTGTACACATCACATGCAAATATTTAAGTACAGGATTTTTAAAGGTGTGAGGGTTGACTCTGTTTATTTTATTGAGTTTGATTTTCTTTTTGTGTATAAATGCCTTACACTTAGTAGATTAGGATACATTTTGCCTGAAATCACCTTGAATGTTTTGCTTTTGCATGACTGGCAGGTTGTAAGATATGAACTAGGCTCTATGCACAGATCCATCTGGCTTTTCTTGCCTATCTGATGTAAAGTTTTAAAATAAGACTTGAATTATAAAATATCCTAAGTATTCAATACCAGACTGTTTAAATAATTAAAGATTCATAGCTGGCAACAAAAAATAGAGCATTTGGACTTTGGACTAGACAAAACAGATTTTAAATCCTGGCCCCCTTCCATACTCTGAAAGAATGTGGAAGTTGCAAAAGTCCTGTCTGAACATCAATTTCCTCTTCCATGCACATTGAGTAATATTAACTTCATGAGTACTGTGAGGATAAACTACATTCATTCAATCCCTAACCACTATCAATATTTATACTATTTAACAACTAGTAAGAGATGGGTATTGCCCAAGCATAATAGATGGTGCCCAATGGAAAACAAAAACAAAAATAAAAAACAATAAACAAACAAAAGCTATAGATAAACTTCAGCCCAATGGTGAATTTAGTTCAATCATTGGCCTGAATGAACATAGGTATAGGTGCAGGAAATGCAGAAAGTAATAGAACAAGATCCATACCGTGAGAGATTCAACGTACACTGAGGGAACATCAGACACATAAAAGAATAAATGCAATATAGTGCCATAGATAATATGATAATGCTGTGGTCTAGATATTTGTCTCCCATGACAACAAATATAGATGTGGAATCCTAATCCCCAAGGTGAAGTAGATGAGGACTTTGGAAAGTGACTAGATCATGAGGGTAGAACCATCATAAATGGAGTTAGTGCCTTCATAAATGGAGCCCTAGAGAGCTGTCTTGCTCCTTCCACCGTGTGAGGACACTATGAGAAGCTGCCATCTATGAACCAGGGACAGCCCTCACCAGACACCACATCTGCCAGCACCTTGATCTTGGACCTCCAGCCTCCAGAACTATGAGAACGAAATTTCTGTGGTTTATGAGCCACTCAATTGTTTAGTTGTAGCAGCCTGAATGGACTAAGACAGATGGACAGTATGTGATGAGCGAAAGTGACTAGTATTAGCCTGGCATACAACAGGCTGCCTTCTCTTCATGTTTGCTTGAATAGGGAAGCCACTTTTGCATCATCACGAGATTAAGCACTATTTTATCTAACATAAGTGGGAGGGAGAGAGAAAAATCAGAAGATAGAAACCACTCATATTATGAATAAAATAAAACCAATTTTAAAAATCCAGCTCTTTCTAGTCTTTATCTTGTACTGTAGTGCATTGCTTTAGCATGCTACCCTCCAGGCACGTATAATTTGTCACTGTTACCCAAACACATAAGTAATCTCAATAATATAAAAATAATATTACCTTTTATATCCAGTGAACCAAGCATTGCACTACCCATTTTATATATGTCATCTCATTTAATCCTCTTCGAACCTGCTAAGAAGACAATATTATATCTACTTGTTCAGTATTGACACTGAAGGTCAGAGGGGTGGAGTGATGCTCCACCAGGTTGGTCTATACAGGATGGCAACTCAGAACCAAATCCACGTGTTCATTCAGTGCTTGGATTTGGTTCCAAGTTACCATCCCGGATAGACCCAGTGGCTTCCTAGAGGCTGCAGCCCAATCCGTTGCTTGTTTCTCATCTTATGTGGACTCATTGAAACAAAAGACAACTTTTACCTAAAATAGGGCAGTATCATAAGACAGTGCAGGTAAAAAGAAACAATGTCATATTATGACAATATTTAAGGAAATAAAAATTAAATATTTTACAGCACCAGAAATATGATTACTGAATAAATCTTTTCATTATGTTGATATGTAAGGGCATAGAGAGAGGACAGAAAGAGAAAGAGAGGAGACACTTGTTGAACAAAGGGAGATTTTGGTATTATCCTTGTATGTATAGTGATGTGTACTCTGTACTACTGAAAAAGGTGATGTGAAAGTGATGTGAAATGCTACCAGCTTGGATTCCTTGGGCACAAATATATGCTTTTAAGTAGAAGTGTTACTAACAGAAAAAAGAAAGCATTCTTACCCACCAAAATGAGTCTAGAGGTTCTTCATTTTATAGTCTGACACAGAAATCCTACATGTTGCCTCCCAAGCAGCAAAACAAGAGTGTTGTCTCTTAAAGACTGGCCAAAGAAGGGGTGCTCATCAGTCCAGGCCCCCCTGCAGTGGTTAACAAAGGGCCGTGGGGCTCAGTCTCTGAATTCATTTCTCTGTAGCTGATGGTAATTTTTGTTTTTCAACCCATGACTTGGGTTGACCTGAACCTGCTTTTGTCTGGTGCAATCACAGATTTCCAGTCCTCTAGTTTCACCATCAAGTATTCAGGATGCCTCGGTTTTTGTGGCAAGTAGCATACTGTGACCTACTGTGCTCTTGATGCCATGACTGCTGGCCTCTGGGACATTTGGGTGGTTGTGTGATTAAATTATACCAGAGAATTTCTTTGTTCCTTCTGCCTATTCCTTGCTCCTGTCTGGTCTGGACAGCTTGGTGGTTACTATTTATTAACTTTTGCAATGTAATCATATTGCATTTCAGGGTCCACATCATAGGCCAACTATTAATTCTAATATTGAAAGTCAAACCGAAGTTCAGGGGCCAAGCCGAAGTCAATTGCTATGTGCCAGGACAGAAGACATCAAAAGCCAAGCTGACCTAGAGTTGGCATGGCAAACAACAACTAGAGGAAATCAGAACTGGAAAAACTGTAGGGGAGAATCGAACCAATGTCCAACTTGGCTAAAGATGTAGTCTTGCCATCCGAGATTTACGGCAAAGGGCAAGAGTCATGTTTCTCAGTTCATGCTATGGGCTTTGTCAAACCTGCTGCCTGTTAGCTGGTAGCAAGAAGGAAATCACCACAACCATGAGCTCCTACTTCCAGCTGATGCTTCCCTTCACTGAAATGATAAAATGATGGTGGTACTCTGGATTTTGCTCAGAGTGCATACTACTCATATTAAAATAGGGATTCGCTGATAATGGAGATTCACTAACAATCATGAGCACTTACATTCATACACGTTATTTCCTACAATGCCCACTCTTAAAAGCAATATGAAGCTGCTTATAGTAAACACTGTAGCTACAATACATTTATTAAAATGAGATGACAGTGCACACTAGCAAGTAATGGAATAGCAATAGACAGAGGCCAATGAAATGTGAGTTTCAAACCTGAGGTTTCTGGAGGCCCCTGCAGAAAAAATGAAAGGCATAACTGTCAAATGAAATTTATCATTATGACCTGCAAAAGAAATCACTTGGATGGGAAAACCACTACATGCCAGAAACTGATTACTTTATGCAATCATCTCATCAGTGCCATATTTTAAAAGGGAGGAAGACAGACAATTTATCTCAAGACAGCAGCAGTGGAAGAAAAACTAGATTTGAGGGAATAGCATCCACAGTCTCATGTCTATCTGCTTTACCCTAAACAGAGGCTGCTTCTCCATGGGGATATAATCAGGCCCTGACAGAAGGATCAGCCTACAAAGATTAATTCAGTTATCCTAATTTGTTTTAATCTTGTTGATTTTCAAAAGTCCACTTGTTAATTTACTTAACATTTTCATTTAGTTTCTGTCATGTGTGCATGGAATACATAGATGATGAGACAGCTTTGCCCTCTGACCTCAAGGAACTTACTAGTAGAGAGAAACACATAATGAATATATTATCAGAGCAGGTGCCCAGTGTATGTTTTTTCTGATGATGATAAAGATGTTGAAGAAAAAGATGATGATGATGGTGACAGTGATGGTGATGATGATGTCACAGGGAGGCAAAAAAGAAGGAAAGGAAGAAGGAAAGAAGAGGAGATGGAAGAGAAAACAGGGAGGATACACGGAGAAGGACAAGGAAAAAATCTAGTTGTTTTTAGACATTAGTCTAGGCAAATGCTACGTCTCCACACATCTCCTTAGTCCTGGAGCCACGCCCCCATCTTCTTAAGTTCTTTTTTATTTTTGGCTCCAGCAACCAAGATTCAGGCTCAAGCTCAAAGTCCATTTCAGCATAGTTCACTAAGTTACTTCACGTGAGACATGATTAAGTGCATTGTTCCTTTGCTTCACTTAGTCTTTACAAAAAGCCATCAGAAATACTCCTCCATGCATTGGTCATGATAGAGACAATGCTATGGCTGAAACAGACCCTGGAACAGCTGAAGATTAGTTTCAGATGAGGATGAGCTGCCACCACCTTCCCTTCTCAGAGCCACTGCTGAGCAATGGAGCATCTGTCCCTTGCGGGAGGTGTTGGAGGGCAGGAGCAAGTGAGCAAACATGACTCTTACAAAAAATGAGTCAATTTCTTCCAGCATCCACGTGGCTGCATTAGTAAAGGAAATGGATAACCAAGATTCATCTGCCACTTGAGAAAGTGCATGCAGAATGGTCAATATACTTGTTTGCTTTAACATGGGTTCGATGCTATGTGGAAAATGTAAACCTCCTGAAGCTCCAAATAAGACAGCTAATATTCTACCTGCTGTGAATTTCAAGCATTACATCCTAGCAATTTCTTTTGGAAAGAGCCCAGAGCAAGTTAGAAAGCAGTAAGTTCTTAGAATCCAGCCCTAGTCTGTAGAGGTGGAGTGTCTCTTTCCCCATAGCAGCCAGGATATTCTGATGTGATGTCATCCTCCTGACCCTACTACAGGCTACCACTTGCACTGGGGAAAAATGGTTCTCAACTGCATCTTGAATTGACAGAGCAACCTCCTGATCTTTGGCCTGCTCCCCACTGGCAATGTAAACTTCTCTGTATTACTTGAGTTTTCTGAACCTAAGATGAGCCCAAAATTAGTAGTAGCAGTGGTGCTGGAAGAAATAAAGAAGTGGAAAGAAAAGTAATAATAACATCCAATTAATGCATATCACTTGGCTTACTGCCTGGTGTTAGCAGTAATCATTACCCCTGCACTTAAAAATAGATATTTTTCTCTTCATTTTCAGATGAAGAGAGACTGAGACTCAGATAGCAGTTGCCTGAAGCCGCAGAGTTGGTGAGTGGCATGGCCAGGACTTGAACCCTAGCAAAAATCATTTTCGGCTGCCTCAGTCTTCATTATGCAATGCTGCCTACCTATGGGGTTCCCCCGATGACTGGTTGGATGCAAGGGAGAGCAGGAAGCCTGTGGTACCTCTCAGAGTTCTGATGTTGGTGGGCAATTCTCTGGGAAGATGGAAGGGAGAAATACCAAGTCCACATGGCAGCCACGGTATGTCTGGGTGTCAGAGCACAACCATGCCCTTGTCCTTCCATGTATTGCTGTAGCTCACTGCCCCTTCCAGCGGCATTCTGTAAATGAAAGCTAGGTTTTTTGGCTTCACTCACCTTTCTCCCAGTCTTTTCTCAACTGAGCACAACCTGATGTGTTCTCTCACTTCACAAGTGATAGTATGTGCTCTCAATCTCCCTAATTATTGAAACACCACTTCCGTTTTTGTTGTATGAGCCACACTTTCCTGTTCTCTTTCTATCTCTGATTGCCCTGAGACATAATTGCCTGCAGCTTGCCATCTGGCTGCTTTGATCACATCTCTGGTCTTTGCTATAAGTCTTCTCCTCTCCTTTCCTCTCTTCTGTTCTTTTCCCCACTGTTATGTCTCCCCACATGCTCTTATTAAGCAATCTTACATACTTCTTTGCAGTCAATTATCACTATGAACTGCTATCAGTGCCTCCCCAATATCTGTCATGAAGTAAGCGGTCAACATCATTTAAAAATTTTTACTAATTATACATAAGTAAATTATCAATAGGTAAATTGATGTAAATGTCTAACAACTGGAAAGGGGCGTTGATTTAGAAAGGTGTATCTCAGATTTGTCTTATTGAGATGATGCTTAAAGCTGAAGAACTGGCTGAAATTATCCAGGGAATATGTGTCAGGAAAACAAAGTCCTAAGGAATACTAACAGTTACAGGAAGAAGAGAGAATGGGGGTCTCTGGGAGAAATCACATTTACCGAGACAGTAAGAGTGAAGTGCTGAGGACATGCAATGTTAGAAGCCAATGGAAGTAAGAGTTTGGTGGTAGAGGGGTGGTTGACAGGTTCTGAAGGCCCAGGAAGGGCACAGAAACATGCCCTTTCGAGTTGGCAGTGGGAAGGCCACTGCTGCCTCAGGGTGGGGACTTTTAGGGTCACTCTTTTCCTGTCAGGCTAGGTGCTTTTATGCTTCTAAGTCTTGGCACATTCCATTCTCCTACATCTAAATTGCTATTTCGTTCTCCATTTCTGTTTCTGGCAAGCTTATATTCATCCTTCAATGCTTGCTTATTTAGCCAACAAATATTTATTAAATGTTTACCATGTGAGAGGCATTGCTTTGAAATCCCTCAAATGTCATTTCCTTCATGAGAAATTCCTTCACCAATCCCCCACACAGATGTAAAGTTTTTCTTTTCTGTGCA